CAAAGAGTAGAGTTCAGCAAACGACTTAACAAATGCTTTTGAAATGAAGACGGTGTGAGCCCGATGGTTCCATAGTACAAACGATGATGACACAAACTTTTTACTGACAGATAAAACAAAGAGTAGAGTTCAGCAAACGACCAATAATAAATGCTTTTTAATTGAAGACTGTGTGAGCCCGATGGTTCCATAGTACAAACGATAATGACACAAACGTTTGTACTGACAGATTAAACAAAGAGTGGAGTTAATCGAAATTAGTGACATTTGTTAAGTCTGTGAATTTGTGAGAAAAAGGTATGTGCATATTTTCTGTATCAGCCTTGTTAGTTGTATACCATTCTGAAATATATATAAATGTATTAGACAATTTGTCAGGATAGTTAAGTTAAAGATTGTACAAACAGACAGAAATTGATGAATCTGATGTAACAATTTATTATCTATGTACATATGTATTCGATACTCAATAAAGAACAGAGATGAAAAAAAAGAGTGGAGTTCAGCAAACGACTAATAACAAATGCTTTTTAGATGAAGACGGTACCGGTGTGAGCCCGATGGTTCCATAGTACAAACGATGAAGCTCGGCTCAATCAACTACGTCACATCAATAAAACCACCTCAAAGTTACTTTGATTGCACATTGCCATCTTAATCAACATTACCTCTAGTCAGTAACACAATACATACATGTATAGTAAATACTTTGAGTCATTTGAGTTCAAGTTACGGTGCTGCATATTATGTTCATTCATTTCTAGGAGGACTAACATGTATTATTACTCCGTGAAGGAGGTCAGGACCTCCGGACGGAGTGTTGTGATCGGCTGATTTTTCGTGTTCGCAGTCAAAACACTGGGTTCTCTTTGTGTAATCGGCACGCAATTTTATACGCCGTCTGCGGGCATGCCCGTGTTGATGCACGAATGTGTATTTTTGTCGTTGCTGCTTTCGCGGTCAATGTAATATTGCAGACGCACCCCTATAATTACGAGGCGATTTGGAATGGTCCAGAAAAACGCGTTGTTTGGAATAGCAGTGGGGGGGTGTAACTTCATGCAGATACGGGGTGGTTTTGATAAGTGGTTCCAGATGTTTTTGCCCATGGTTAAGAGATGCCAAGTTTTTTGGAAGATGTTCGCAGCCAAAACGCATTCTTCCGTACGTCGCATTTCTGTGTAATTTCGCATGTGGTGTGGCATTATGTCCGGGATGATGCACGTCTTTTTATTTTTACCGTAGCTGTTTTGATATTGGAGTAAATGCTTATTTTCGAAACATCCCCATGTCGTTGAAATGTTGTCGTCCGTTTATGTCACCGGTAGTAAGTCGCGGCGGGGCTGATGGGGACGGAAATGTGGGGTGGTCAGAGGTCAACATTAGGAAATGTTAATACCGATGACGTAATCCTATCGATTTCAAACTGGTCGGGTGTGGCGACCTAGTGGCGGCGTGTATTTAGTCACGTAGCAACTGGCCGGTCGTCCTAGCAACGACACATGGCCAATATTTTTGGGTTGGGCCGCTCCATAGTGTTAGTGGAGCAGCTCTTTGGAAAAATGGACAATATTTTTGAGCAACCCATCAATGTGTTTTGCCTCGTGGTCGGATGTGGTCTGGGGCTGGTAAACCACACATATTAGTAGATCGGATAATTTAATGATTTGCTAGTTGTAAAAGGGCGTCTTGTAGTATGAGCCGGTATATGAAGAAGTAGCCTGTGTTACACAATCATGCTTTCGGCCGGATTGATGTGCAACTGTTACTAATTGCAGGGACTGCGCTAATGCCGACCAGTCGCGCTGTCCTGATACACCGCGAATGTGCGAGTGTTCCCTGTAGACAGTCCCGGGAGCACATTCCTGGAGCCAAACCAAAATACGTTCATGAACCGAGTCCAAAAAACCGAAACGTGAAAATCGGATGATCGGACCTGATGTACATTTCTCTTTCTGTAGATTGTACACACAATACACACATCTTTAGATAATCTGGCCATGGCAGGTAAAAAAAAGTAACCCTGAATCATACTACATTAGCGTAAATGCATGTCTATGCGTTCAAAACAAGAAAAGAAATTGTTTTCCGGTATTAATTTCTTGAAACACGGCGCTGAATATTGACGCAAAAATATTTCGGGCATCGCGCGCCCTTCCCCGTTGTTTAGACTGTATGCAAATCCCGCGTCACGTGTCGGCATTTCGCATCTCTTATTGGTTGTTGCGTCTTAAGATGACTGAGCCGACGCGCGTTGAAACAATTTTTCTTTGTTCGATTTATCACACTTCACAGAGAATTGTTGCCAATGGCTACTTCTTTTTGTTGCAATATATAATACTTCACGGAGAATTGTCGCCTATGGCATCTTGTTAATATTACGATACTTTTGTGTCTCAAGAATGTGCAAGGGCAGTAAAATAATAGCAAATCTCCTTTTTAGTCAATATGTATATCTTAAATTTGTTTCAGTAGCAAAAATTGACATTTGATCTGATTTGTAGAGCTGTAACTTAACAAAGAGCTAATCGTATTCAGCCATGGGCATGCGGTAGTCTCTACACTATTCTACACACACCTCACGTTCGTAGCTCAGACGAATCACGGGTTGTCCATGAATAAACATTACACACACACACTCTCACACAAACCAAGGACTCACAGAAATGGTACGCTCTCGTCTAAAACTAATTCCAAACTACCATTTTATGGATAAATGGATGAATGTCATCTATTCAGTATCTCTGATTAAAACTAATTGACATTTAACTGATTTTTTCGGTACCTTTCTTTTGAACATGGCACAAACGTAGCTTTGTGGCACACAAACGACAACAAACACAACAGAGAACTCTTCGATCATGGCCACAACATCCAAATATACAAAACGCCACTATATATGACTTTAGAATCCAATCAATGTATAGTCAGAGTTGTTTGATTTGATTTATTAGGTTGTATAAGACATATGTATACAGCCAGGACTGCCCAACTAGCCGGGGGCTATTATAAAGGGCCAGCCCTCACAACAAGAACATAAACAATTCGGAACAGGTAGCAGTTAACAGTGTCGGTTACACTTCTGATAAACATACTATAGAGTTGTTTCTGCACTAAAGATCATAATAATTATTGTTATCATTGCAAACGAATCTGAGTTAATGTTCTTAGCAATTATTTTGTAGTTTGAAGTATGTCTAGCGCATTTGTTAGAACTTAAGTTTAAAGATAATTTGACCAGTTTATCAAATATTAATAGTGTGTTAAAGATGCGACTAAATGCATGAGAAATTAGGACTTTTGATTGTTTGAAAACATTTGATTTAGCTTTCAGTCAGCCTACATTTAATCTATTAATTCGTTTATAGAAAGTGTTCGGAATACAACACCAACAAACGTACACTCTCACATATTTACGACATGATGATTTGATTATATGGATAACATCATGTGGGAACCCCAAAACTGATGCGAGCGAGCAAATATTTAATGGTTGGCAAAAAAAAAGTTGCCTTCCTTATAAAATCTACGCGGTCATGAAGGTTGAACAAATGATTAATAACAAAGAGTATGGTGAATAAAAGAACTTGTCATTTTCATTTCTTCACCATTGAAATTGACATTCTGTGACATTAGTATCGTTTTCCAATTTTTTTTGCAATTTTCCTCATTTTGGAGCAGCTGCTTTGTGCGATTTGAAGATTTTTTAAACGGACGAAAACTCATGCACGCGCGTATGTAATCTATATAGGATCAAATCAACATGGCCTTATTGTGTGTCTCGCGTCTCAGACCAATAACAGCAACGAGTTCTTACATAAACAAATCAAACCCTTTGCTACAATGGGCTCACAGAAACGGTAGCTTCCTACGCAAGGCCCCTCTACAATGCAATTCCAACTGTTCTGTAACCGTCATATCGTGGTATGAACAGGTGTATCCGTAGTTTGTATTTGCATCATCATACACATTTTAAGAATGAAACCAATGATACAATAAGCTGCTAGTGTTATACTATTCAAGTTTTGCTACTTGTTAAAGCTTCATCGAGTCTGCCTAGAGTAAACTCTATTGAAACTGCTGATTAATAGATTGTGGTAGCACCGTCTTTTGTTTGTTACAATTTGTGCACAAATACAACAATAAAAATATATGGAGTTTGAATTCTGGCTTGATGTGGCATTAATTTCTACAGTGGACCAAAATAAACAGTTACGATGAACCAAACATTTAGAAGTTGTTTTAAGTACGACAGATTGTTTCAATTTCCTTTAGTCCCAACATTTTCAGGAAATATTCCTAATAAGTCTAGCTTGCATATCTTTATTTCTTTTAGATTACTTTTCATAGTACTGTATTGTATTGTATTGTGAATCATACTGCATATCAGCGAATGAAGGCTGCTACTGTATGTTCTGTCTTGCAACAAGGACGTAAATAAACGATTCATACATACATTTCATGCAGAAGTGATAGGTGATAGTTCAGTTAATTAAAGGCGATTAAAAAGTTCAGATTAATACGCGATAATCAAGCGGCGAAACGACACTAAGCATTATCTATGATACCAACGCAGATATCATCTATTTCACATGCATCTTGAATAAACAATGCAGTGATCCTTGACGTGATATAGACATTGAATAATGCAGATTCCAGGAATCCAAGCCAACGAAACCATGTTATTCATTCGTTACACAACTACTACATGGAGGCGGACAAAGGTATGCTTACTTGTAAGTTTTTATTATTGATGACCAAATCCGAAAAAATAGGCCTACCTGCGGAAGATATTACCTCTTCTTTCAGCCAATATGTATTTTGTTATTTCAATCATACTTCTACAAAATTTTGCTCACGTCAACACAGCCATTACTTGTTGGACTTATGGAAACTGCGCAGGGCAAGTGCCTAATTTAAAGACCATACCTGGCAATGTGACTGTGAAAGCACTACTGCTCAATTCAAATGACATCAAAAAGCTGACATTCATACCAGAAATGCAGGAGCTGTGTCATCTGGATTTGTCCTACAATCGCCTAAAAGAATTCCCGTGGTCTTCTCTTCGTAACATATCGCATCTTACAGAGCTAAAACTGAACAACAATGAACTATCAAAAGTTGACGACTTCGTCCAAGCCCACCATTGCATAAGATATCTTCATCTTCAATCCAATCGCATTACCGCGATTCCCGAATCTTTTCTGAACGGATTCAGGCCGATCAATCCACCAAGAAATACTTTCTTTCTGCGGATACACCAGAACCCTTTCCTCTGTGACTACAAGATCCAGTGGATCGCTCGTTTGCGGCGATGTGTGTGGGAACACCGGGATGAAGGCTGCATTGACGCTCCTTTGTCGAAAGTGAGGACTTGCATGTTGTCTAACTGCAATTTCCACCCGATTATTGTCATCCTGGACATGCGCGAATTTCGCAGCAACATTATTCTTCTGCCTAGTGAGAATACGTTACTAAGGTGTGACTCGCCGCAAGAATTACGAGGAAAATTGCTGAAAGACGTCACTCTGCCGACCTGTGCATCCCCCAGCGCATCGGTAACACCACCACTTGCGGTTAATCATGTGTCAAACACAGTTGGACAAGACAGGACAGAAATACAAGTGCCCAACACCTCTATAAGAACTGTCAGCATATCTAAACCTTCATTGACGAAGCCTTGGAAAGGTGAGGTTATTTCTAGTCATTTGTGTACATACATTGCACCATACAAAATAGTACTAGCTTACACCACCTTTCCCCGGGAAAGACTGTTGAAAGATCGTGGAGCGTTCCGAAAATTTCTTAGATTTCTCAAAGGCTTTCCATAGGGGGCATAATGATCCCCTTTATCTCTCCGCTGTCTCTCTCTTAATGATATTGATATAGCTTCAGACTTGATTATTTGTCACATGTATTTAGTTCTGAAAATATTTTCAAGTCAGAAAACGTGATAGTTGGAAAAGACGTGATGATTGTTTTTAATATGGTTATCTTATTCACACTACTAGTAAATATGAGATAGAGGGATGCTAACTCATTTTTTCACTAGAAGTAGCTATAGCTTCAATGATCTCAAAGGCCTTCCAATAATATTTCAGAGTCCCATCAAAGACCTAGGGCTCTGTTCGCCTACCTTTTGAAATTCATTGTCATTATTATGATAATTGTAAACCAGTCTCAGGTATAGATATATATCGTGGCTGGTATAGTAAATGTCAGACGCAATCTACCTGACTTCTATCAACAGAAATCTATCACTCCACTTGGCTGGCTGTTTACCAGTTATATATCATATATTTACACACAAAGTTCTTCCATAAACAAGTTTATTTGCGCAGGCAAATGTATTGCCCATCGGTCTATTATCATTTATTATATAAAAACTATTGAATAGGTGACGCAGCTCTATATCTACACAAAGAAAATTAACCTACACGTTTTCTTCTTCTCTACAGAGAATATCAGCTCCATCCTCGGTGTGTCTCTCGCTATCATAGTTGTTGCTAGTATCGCCTTCCATCTCGGGTCTCATCGACGACACAGAGGTGTTCATCACCAGGTGAGAGGGCCGGCGTCCGGAGAGCCAAGACGCCGAAGACGTCATCACGAAGACGACAACAACTTCATAGAAATGGTCGACCAACGGGGGAGCTCGGGAGATTCGCCTTCAAACTCAAGGAGTGTCGAGAGCGGCAGTGCCCGCCTGACTGTGCCCAGCAGGGAAGGGCGAGCTGCAACATTGCACCAAACGTCTGTTGTCTAGATCTAGTCCAAGACGTTATTGGTTAAGTTGACCAAAACAAAGGCATTTCAGGCATATGTTGAAACTATAATCTTATACAGATCTGATTTGTGGGTCATGAACAGTACAAGAATTTTAAAACATTGACGGCACCTACACTGGATGCTGCGGGAAATCACATCTCAAACAAACAGTTTTATGGAACATTCCCAAAAGCAAATATCACCACGGTAGTGGCTCGTGGTAGAGAACCAACTGGACGACATTTAATTTGGACTCCGGAGATACAAAAGAAGGATCGGTCGTCCAACCAGAACTTTAAAGAAACTCATTTAATCTGAAACTGGTTTACAAGGACCTGGACGTATGTCTGCAATCACTGACAAACAGTACTGGAACTTCTGTCACACCTCGTGACTAAGACGAAGAAGAAAAAGAAGGTTATGTTGTGAACAAATATCCTCTAGCAGTGTCATTTCTGTTTGAATACAGATGAAAAAAGGCATAGTCTTCATGGCTCGTTATAGGATGAAATGTTGGTCCAAAAGGAACGATAGAAAGGTAGACAGCCCAAATTGGATGTCGTATGCCATATAGCACTTGTAGTTGTTTGGATACTGTTATAACATCATTTGAAATACCAACTTCTTTGTAACTGCCCTTGGGTTTTTGATATTCATAGTGTACTGTAGAAATCACTGTCCACCAGTTTATTATTTCCGGGAAAGGATTCTGTATTTGGTCGATGTTTGCGTGTTCGCAGCTGTATCTCACGGTGGGCTGGACCACTTACTTTGGATCTCGGTATATGATTAGGTACTGGGGTCCAGATGATGCGGTTCTTACATGTATATTATTGTGTACTATGGTTGTCACCTCACCCACCTTGTAGCGGTACTGTCAGTGATATCTTAAATTTACAGTGATCATTGTGATCATCATGCGTTACATTCTTCCTGCTGAAGGTTTGGCATCTCAGATTTCTTGTTGTACATATTGCAACAATATGTTTGCATAATGCAAGGCCACAAGGACAAAAGGCCACGATTGGAGATTAACGGTGAACGTTGGTTTGAAGTCTTGTACATACTTGGATTAGCAGCTCTTGGATTAGCAGCTCAGATTAATCATAACATGTTCGTGATAAACAGTATGCACATCAATTCAGGCTGCTGTTGTGTGTTATTTTGGCATTACATGTATGTTTTCCGTATTTTATATTCTACTTCTACGTATACACAGGACAGGACTATGACTATGTCAGTATCACTATTTTCTTCGTTGCATGTTATTTTTAATGCTCAATAAACTAAGAAATAAGCAACCGCTACTTGTTTGAAGACTTCACATGATGTGTATTAATAAAGACATGCACCCTTTTCAAGTTTGCAACAATCAATTTTTGAGCGTCTGTTGAATGTAAAGGACGTCGCTCAATGTAAGGTCAAAAGACCACTTCTGGGCTCAGACCTAAGTTGCTGGGAGGTATAGGTGGTTCCTCTGCGTATTACGAGTATTAAAGACATGCAGCTTTTAAGTTTGCAAACCACCCTTTGTTGAGCGTCTGTTTTGTATATACGACGTTCCTCAATGCAAGGTCAAAAGATCACTTCTGTGCACAGAACTAAGTTGGTGGCCATGGGAGGTATAGGTTGCAACGATTTAAAGGTTTGAAGGCTCCACAGAAGTTGGATTAGCAGCTCAGACTAATCATAACAGTTCGTGGTAAACAATATCCACATCAATTCAAGCTGATACTGCGTGTTCTGTTGACATTATGTTTTACGGTACAAGTATTTAATATTCTACTGCTACCTGCACACATGACTCACTCGTTACAGGATGCTTAATCAATGAAAAAATAAGCTTCTATTAATTTTTGTTGACACTGTACATGATGCGTATTAATGGAGATATGCAGCTTATAAATCCACTATCCTTTGTTGAGGTTCTGTTGAGGTTTGCTGAGTATAAACGACGTCAATGTAAGTCCAAAAGCTCACTTCTGGTCCCTCAACAAAGATGGTGGGAGAAGGTATAGGTGGCTACGCTAGGAGATTAACAGTGAACATTGGTTTGAAAGCCTTCATATATGATGCACACACCATGGGTTAGCAGCTCAGACTAATCATAATACGTTCGTGATAAACAATATTCACGTCAATTCGATCAAGCTGATATTATGTGTTCTCTTCGCATCGTTATGTTTAGCGTATTTTTTTTATTCTACTGCTACCAACACACAGGACAGGGCTATGTTTGACACCATAGCATCAGTATTTTCCCCGTTGCAGGTTATTTTTTTGATTGCTCAATAAACTAAGAAATAAGCAACTGATACTTGCTTGAAGACTTCACATGATGCGTAGTACGAGTATTAAAGACATGCAGCTTTTAAGTTTGCAAACCACCCTTTGTTGAGCGTCTGTTTTTTATATACGACGTTCCTCAATGCAAGGTCAAAATATCACTTCTGTGCACAGAACTAAGTTGGTGGGAGGTATACGTTGCAACGATTTAAAGGTTTGAAGGCTCCGCAGAAGTTGGATTAACAGCTCAGACTAATCATAACAGTTTGTGGTAAACAATATTCACATCAATTCAAGCTGCTATTGTGTGTTCTGTTGACACTATGTTTTATGGTACAAGTACTTAATATTCTACCGCTGCCTGCACACAGGACTGACTCGTTACAGAATGCTCAATCAATGAAAAAATAAGCTTACGTAGAGATATGCAGCTTTTAAATTTGCAACTATACTTTGTGAGGTTCTGTTGAGTATAAACGACGTTGCTTATAAATGTAAGGACAAAAGCTTCTGGTCCCTGAACAAAGATGGTGGGACGAGGTATAGATGGCTACGTTAGGAGATTACCGATGAACTTTGGTTTGAAGGCTTGAATATAATGCGCACAAGTTGGATTAGCAGCTCAGACTAATCATAACAGTTCGTGGTAAACAATATTCACATCAATTCAAGCTGCTATTGTGTGTTCTGTTGTCATCATGTTTTACGTTACAAGTACTTAATATTCTACTGCTACCTGCACACAGGACTGACTCGTTACAGGATGCTCAAACAACGAATAGATAAGATTTAATTAATTTTTGGACACAGTACATGATGTGTATTAATAGAGATATGCAGCTTTTAAATTTTCAACTATCCTTTGTTGAGGTCCTGTTACGTATAAACGGCGTTGCTCAATGTAAGGCCAAAAGATTCTGGTCCCTGAACAAAGATGGTGGGAGGAGGTAGAGGTGTCTACGTTAGGAGATTAACAGCGAACGTTGGTTAAAAAGCCTTTATTTATGCTGCACACATCTTGCTTGGATTAGAAGCTCAGGCTAATCACAACACGTTCGTGAGAAACAATATGCACATCAATTCAAGCTGCTTGGTCTGTTGGCATTGTTAATGTAAAACGCATGTTCTATTCTATTGCAACCAACACAAAGGACAGGACTATGATTGAAACCACAGTGTCAGTATTGCTATTTCTCTTGTTGCAGGTTATTTTTTGATTGCTCAATAAACTAAGAAATAAGGCTGCTACTTGTTTGTAGAGTTCACATGATGTGTATTGATAAAGACATGCAGCTAGACTTTGTTGAGGTTCTGTTGAGTATAAGCGACGCTGCTCAATGTAAGGTCAAAATTTTAAAGCCCACTTCTGGTCCCTCAACAAAGATGGTGGGAGGAGGTATATAGGTGGCTAGGAGATTAACAGTGAACGTTGGTTTGAAATCCTGCATATTATGATGCACACACCATGGGTTAGCAGCTCAGACTAATCATAATACGTTCGTGATAAACAATATATTCACATCAATTTAACCCTAAACAGTACACCTGGGGTCCGCGCGGACCCCAGCACTATATATTCTGTAATATATTTTTTGTTTCTAAAGATTTTTTTCTGAAATTTTAGGTAATTGTCACCCACAAAGTTGTCTCTCAATACAGTGCAGAAAACTCCGTTTCTACTATTTATAAAAAAAATTATATCTGATTTTCTTCAGTCCCTTCAGTCTGAAATGGGTTTAAAAATCGGGTATTTCCTCTTGTCTTCTTTTCTTCACCAAAAATAGAAAAAGTTCAAAATGTATGATTATTGTATGTAATGTGGACACAGAGGTTCCCACATCAGTTTGCAAAACAATTGAGCTGGTAACATGTTGATAATTTCTAAAAATTAGCAAAAAACTGTTCTGGGGTCCGCGCGGACCCCAGGTGTACAGATTAATCAGTCCGGGAAGGTGTACTGTTGAGGGTTAAGCTGCTATTGTGTGGTCTGTTGGCATTGGTCTCTTATTACTTTTGGCTTGTTTGTGTGTGTGTGTGTGTGTGTGTGTGTGTGTGTGTGTGTGTGTGTGTGTGTGTGTGTGTGTGTGTGTGTGTGTGTGTGTGTGTGTGTGTGTGTGTGTGTGTGTGTGTGTGTGTGAGAGAGAGAGAGAGAGAGAGTGTGTGTGTGTGTGTGTGTGTGTGTGTGTGTGTGTGTGTGTGTGTGTGTGATAGATTCAACCTCTATATCCCTGGCCAGGATCACTCACCATTACACCAACCATAGATTACACTTTTGTTGTACCACAGTTTAACACCTGTGCCATACATTTTCTCCATCCAGAACAAAAAAATAAGGAATAGATTCATTCAATGCAAGAGTGGCAACGATTTGTGTTTAATCACTTGTACATGACATTGTGATACAATTCAATCCAGGATAGCTGTCATTACTATTTTTACCTTAGCTTTTTATGTACATTCTATAATTCCTTACTGACCTTGAAAGAAATTGTGGTTCTAGGTAGTCATTAAC